TGAGGCTGTGGTGGCCGGGAGTGGCCACTGCACTCCAGTCTGGGGGACAGAGTGAGACTCCAACTCAAAAAAACAAAACAAAACAAAACAAAAACAATAAAGTAAAGAAAACTAATGAGGAACTCCAGTTCCTCAAAGAACCTTTTTTGCAGGGCAGGCAGCCACAGAGAATGGCTTCTTCCAAGTTTGAGGTTCCTGGAAATTTAAACTAACCACATGAAACTGACAGACATGTGAATGGACTTTGAAATAAGACAGCCCTGGGTTAGAATTTTTGTTCCATCACTTTCTGATGGGGTCCCCTTCACCAAGCTGTTTGACCTTGCCATACCTCAGTTTCCTTATTTGGACTATCTGGGGGTAATAGAACCTACTTTCCAGAGGGTTGTGAGGCTTATAGGTGACAGTGTATACATTGAGCCTGGGCCATAGACTAGCAGCATGTAGGCCAGATTTAGCCATGTATTTCGTTTGGCTCACAGTGCTTGTTTTCATTATATTCATTAAATTCTGGCATTTGAAATCAGAAATTTTCACCTGACTTGCCATTTCTCTGTACAAATCAAATCAGGCAGCACCGCACTGCATTTCTTTCATAGCAGTTGGCTAGGCAGAGATGTGTTGCCCCATTTCAACAGAGCCCACCTTCCCTACTTTCCCCACCCACCTGCCGCATAGTTCACAGCCTGCTTCACTATGGTATGTCATTTGACTGACCCCGTCACACAGTGAGTGGTCCTTGTCATCTTGAGGCTCAGAGCTAGGAGGAGATGACTTCCCAGAAGAAGAGTCAGTGGAAGAAGAGTCAGCATGACTCGGAGCACAGATAGTGGTGGCTTCAGCTCTGTGTGCGGGATTAAGAGGGCAGGCATCCAAGATGATGGCAGGCAGGATGCTGAGATTGTCACACACTTGCACCTGGAGCCAGTCTGATTGCAGGAGGCTCATCTCGTGCCCAGGCTGGCCTCTTCACCCACATTTGCCCTCCTTTCTGCTGCTCTGGCTGGAAACCTGGGCCTATGGTCAGTCCTTTTCTCACTTCCATGGTTCTGTGGCTCAGTAATTTGTCTCTGTGATGTTTTTCCAGCTAGGGTGTGATCTCTGAAGGTGGTGGCCACACCCCTTACATACTTCATATCTTTATTGCCTGTGCCAAGTCTGCTTGGAACTGAGTGGATACTAAGTAAATGCTTAGCAAATGAGTAATTGAATTAAGTGCCACTTCAGTTTCTTTCCTTGTGCAGAAGACAAGAGATGAAGGCATGATTTTTTTTGTCTTGAGGGCTTTGTTTTTCCCAGTTGGCAAAATTAACATAAAACCTTCCCTCTCAGGCACTGTGGAGTACAGAAGAACTTAAATAATAAATAAAGATGATGAATTACTTCATGTAAATTTACAGGTGTGCCTAGATATAGTATACACATTGCTTCTAAAACTCCGTAAACAAAGAATTTGGGTTTAGGCATATTTCAAATGCATACTTCACTGCACAGAAAAGCTGCTGCAGTGATCTATTTCACAAGAAGGGAAAAAAAAAAACCCTTGGTAATGAAAACAATCACCCTGAGCTGATCTGTTTTGCAAATTTGGGTTATTTTCTTCAAGTGCTTATCTGTCATCTGGTGTTTATTAAATTGTGCTTAAGAAAGGAGAAAGAGAAGTAGAAGTTAACTTTGCAGTCTCTCAGAAAATGATCACAGTTGGAAGCAATTGACAGAAGTTGTGTTCCCTGGGGCTGATGACTGAGGTGGTCCTTTTGTTGCCAGAGAAGAGGTCTCTCAAATGGAGACAGAGGAGACAGACCTCCACTCTTGCCCAGATTCTTGACTTTGCCACAGGAAAGAACTCCAGAGCAAGTCACCAGGTTGGCAAGTAAAGTAAATAGTTTATTAAGGCGAAAGTACACACTCAAAGGGAAGGGGAGCGAAGGCGGACAGTCTCCTGAGGAGAGCTACAGAGCTGCCTTGAAGTAGGAAAGTACACTCAGAGAGGGGAGGACCAACAGCTCAGAGCTAGAGATGTCCCAAGGGAGGGTTGGTGACTGGCTTTCATCTCCTCTGCCTGCGGGGAGGTGGTTGGGAGGGGACGGGGGCAAGGGTCACGAGGGCCATGGATTTGTCTTCATTTGGGCTCCTGGGCTGTTGCGATGAGCTCGTGTTCCATCTGTAGTTGTCAGGTGACGAATGAGGTGGAGGACCTGCTCTGCTTTGCTGAGTCTGACCATAAGCAGCTGGATGTGTTTTCCACATCTTTAGCGACTTGCTTGCTGCTGCTTGCAGGATGACACAGAGGTCACATTTTCCTGCACTTACTCTCCTGCCTCAGCTGGAGTGGGTTTTTCAGGGTCAGTGATAAAATGAGTTCCACCCTGGAAGGGATGGGGGCTGA